TTTATATCACCCCGGGAAGTTCCCTCATGCCTCTTTCCAACCTATCCCCTCCCCAAACCAGTCTGATTTGTCAACTCAGGTATGCCTCTTATGACATTTTTGCCAGAGTGCATGCCAGAAAGTTGAATCATTTATACCTGTACCAGCAATGTATGAAGTTGCTGGATTCTCCTTATTCTAAGAATTATGTATGTATGTGTTAAAGTATATCCCAAATAACACATATTAATCTTTGTCAGCTTCTACTTTGCAATATTTTTTCTTTGTTTACTAGTAAAGTTGAACTTTCTAAATATATTAATTGGCTATTTACATTTCATTATTGTTTTAGTGATGGTGGTTAATTGTATAGTCTAATATGATTATATATTCCTTATTGCCATACAAAAAGCTATTAAATATTAAGGATATTATTTGTTTTAAATATTTTTACAATTCATTTATGGAAGTTTTTGTTTTTTTATTTCAACGTATAGTTTTGTTTTTTTAACTGAAGTACAGTCAATTACAATCTCTGGTGTACAGCACAATGTCCCAGTCATATATATACATATATTCATTTTCATTTTTTCCATTAAAGGCTATTACAAGATAATGAACATAGTTCCCTGTGCTATACAAAAGAAACTTTTTAAAAATCTATTTCTATATATAGTGGCTAACATCTGTAAATCTCAAACTCCCAAATTTATCCCCTCCCAGCGCCTCTCCCCAGTAACCATAAGAGTGTTTACTAAGTCTGAGTCTGTTTCTGTTTGTAGAGTTCATAGTGTCTTTTTTTTTTTTTTTTTAGATTCCACATATGAGTGATAGCATATGCTATTTTTCTTTCTCTTTCTGGCTCACTTCACTCAGAGTAATGATCTGTCCATCCATGTTGCTGCAAATGACATCATTTTATTCTTTTTTATGGTAGAGTAGTATTCCATTTTATAAATATACGACAACTTCTTTATCCAGTCATCTGTTGATGAACATTTAGGTTGGTTCCATGTCTTGGCTATTGTATATAGTGCTGCTATGGACATTGGGGTGCATGTATCTTTTTGCTTTAGAGTTCCCTCCAGAAATATACCCAGAAGTGGGATTGTTGGATCATATGGTAAGTCTATTTTTAGTTTTTTGAGGAATCTCCATACTGTTTTCCATATGGCTGCACCAAACTACATTCCACCAACAGTGTAGGAGGGTTTCCTTTCCTCCACATCCTCTCTAGCATTTATCATTCGTGGACTTTTGAATGATGGTCATGCTGACTGGTATGAGGTAATACGTCATTGTAGTTTTGATTTGCATTTCTCTGATAATTAGTGATATTGAGCATTTTGTCATATGTCTATTGGCTTTCCATATGTCTTCATTAGAGAAATGCTTCTTTAGGTCTTCTAACCATTTTTGGCTTGGGTTGTTTGTTTTTTATCATTAAGTTGTATAAGCTGTTTATATATTCTGGAAATTATGCCTTTGTCAGTCACATCATATGCAAATATTTTCTCCCTTCCATAGGTTGTAGTTTTGTTTTGCTTATGGTTTCCTTTGCTGTGCAAAAGCTTATGAGTTTAATTAGGTCTTATTTTATTTTTGCTCTTATTTTCATTTACTGGGTAGACTGCTCTAGAAGAACATTGCTAAGATTTATGTCAGAGAATGTTTTGCCTATGTTTTCTTCTAGGAGATTTATTGTGTCTTGTCTTATATTTAAGTCTTTAAGCCATTTCAAGATTATTTTTGTGTATGGAGTGAGGGAGTGTTCTAAGTTCATTGATTTACATGTGGCTGTCCAGTTTTCCCAACAACACTTGCTGAAGAGACTGTCTTTTCT